TCTTCTTGTTTCTCGTTTTAACGGATACAGAGGATAGTGGTGATTCATCAACATTATCAGAAGACCGCTATTTCACGTGTACTGTTGCTTCGTGGATTTATTGCCATCAACTGCATCATTTTCGTCCTTTTCGAAAAGATATTCGAGTTCCTCGAGACTTTCCCTCAAGGCCGGCACGGCCAGGCTTTTGCGAATTGCTGGATTCTGCCCAATCGTGTTTTGGAAGAAGGCGGATTGGCGAACTGCCTTGTTGAACTTCTTGGACATTCTCATTGCCGTCACAAAACCAACAATGGAACCGGCAATTGTACCTACTACAACGTAGATGGTAATCCACACCCAAGATAGACCCTCATTTATAATTACCGTGGTGTAGTATTCGTCGTCGTTCCAGATTACCACAGAGTCGTCGTCAATGGTGACATTTTCTTCGACTAGAACACCAATACCGCCAAAGTCACAGGTGACTCCGCGCTTTCTACCCTCTTCAAAGAAGGCTTCKATCAGCGGTTCGGCAGACGTTCGCAACTCTTTTCCTGAAAGTCCCTCAACGCTTCGTGCATCTTCTGTGGCGTTCGTCACGTCGTTGATATAGTGAATGGCATCCCGAATGGGCTTRTCTGGTATATTTCTCTTGAGGGTGCACCGAAACACCCCCGAATCTTCGGCTCTGCAGGCATCTTCAATTCGCTCTTCTCCTAGATTTCCGCGAGGTATCCAACCACGCTCCAAAGCTCTCATATAGTCCCATTGCGGGCTATCCAACTCGGTACGAAAATTCCAGAAGTAGAAGCCATGGCCGATCCCCGAAAAGGCGGATATCTTTTTCGCTGCCAAGTGGGTCATAACGTTGTCTGTATCATCCAAGAAACTGGGTATGTTTGGAGGTGCACGGACCCAATCTCGTCCTGTTTGGGGATCACCGCTGGTTTCTTTTGACCAGTCGCGGTCAACAGGGCAAAACCCGAAGCTAGGTCCTGATTGTCCAGTACCATACGGTCCTGAGTTCATGATATGATATATCCATRCGCATCGTGAGATGATTTTAACGTGTTGTCGTCAGATATTACAATAGAGCAAGAAACACAATGGTAAGCAATATCCGATAAAGGCATCCTTATGAATAYACGAATGAGACACATTCCAATTGTCACCAACCAAATAAAAGCAACAACCGTCGTAACAAGCTACGTTGGAAAACTTTCCATAACGTGAAACACACCTTGCATTGGTTTTGTTGGATCAACAGGAGCGTTTGGTTGGACATCCATTCCCATGTATGGATCGGCGCATTTGACATACTTGCAGGGCAATCTCGGGAAACCAGGCAGATTGTCGTTGAATCCATTCAGCCACATTACACAATTGCTGTCGTGATTTTGATATGATGTAATGTGATCCGCCGCAGGAAAATCAGAACAATAAAAAAGAAGTAATTCGATACAAACAGGCATTCATAGCRTTGGTTAGTATAGATGATGGGGTAATTGTAACGACAACAAGAAAACAATATTGAAAAGAATCAGTGTGACTCTCTCAGCCTCTCTTTCGTAACTTCTCTATATATTGATCTTTCGAATATACCAATGTGAAAAAACAAACCAATTATCATGCATACATGCAGAGAAAGAAAATAGACACAYWGTACAAACGACAAGCAGAAAYACTACTCACTCGGTGGCCAAACTCCATTCGCCGACGATGATGGGTCCAAATTCGCGTTCCATATCGGCGATGACCCGCTTCTGGTTACAGGCATCGCGATAAAACCCAAGTCTTGAGTCGGGATCTCTCCAAGCTTGGTAAATATGCATGTCTATCGCTCGGTCGGGGCAACCAYCCATGAAGCCACCCCAGACATCAGGGGTAGGCCGAAAGGAATCGTGCATTACATACCGCCAATAGGGAGCTTCTTTCTTGACCTTGAGATAGCCCTCCCAGTAGTAACGCTTGAGTTCCTCGATGGGTGTGTGTTCCCATGGCTCGTTGACTGGCTCCAATCCCATAACGGCCGGATGGTTCTTGTAGCGGTCGATGATCAATTGCAACACGTTCAATGAGTGCTCGACGTTGGCACGGTTGATAGTCGGATACGAATTAGTCTTGTAGTCGAATTCTCCCATCCAATTGGCGGTACGCATGGGCCTGCATGCGATTTTATCCAGAACGTGGTTTGGGCACAGTGAAACATTCACGGTTGTTTGTGGAGTGTGCCRATGTGTAATTTTGCGGTTAATTGTGTATCCATTGTCATAGGATCAGGGTTGGCAACCAAGTAATACCAAATAATATCGAGGAGCGCGACAGAAGCGACGACATCGATTGCAATCGTGATGAGAATCTCAAGTAGAGCGAAAAAAATCAATAGAACCACATTCAATTGAGTTGCTGTACGTACCAATGCTCAAAGGTTGTCGAAGGTGCGTATTCGAAACCAATCTGTGTCGTCCACTGAAACCCTAGCGTTTGTCCAGAATTGTCRAACCCATTCTGTGAATCCTTCATCGCGTGAACGTCCAAGAGGACACTCAAACCGTTCGAATAAGCCCAGTCCAGGACCTTGTCGACGTATTCCAGACCACCGTCCCAGCATCCGTTGAGGTAGGGCCCGTAAGGAATGAATTGAAAATCTCCTATTGGCAACCGGAGGGAATTGACGGCACCGCTATCCTTGAGTTTGGTGATGAGCTCTTCTGTGACCCATGTCTCCCAATGATTTTTCAATTGTCGGTTGGCCTCTTCGCCACCAAGAACCTCACAGAAGGAATAGGAATCCATTCCAACCTCGCCCTCCTTTTTCCCGAGGAATTGGTAGAACAAGGAAGGTGTGATCCATGGCTCRAGAACCATGTAGCTGCCAAGATTCACTCCTCGAACGGCCTCRTTAAATTTTGTGCTATGCTCATCGCCCGAGCAGGTCATTGTGTCGTTGTAGGCCGTAAAATGGGCAAATTTTGTCCCTGTTCCTTCTGCAGCAGCCACTCTTGCAGCAAGCTGCAACATCACGAGAACCGCGATGTTGACAAAAGAAACCATTGTTATGCTTCTCGGGTTAGGTGATAATAGTCAATACTGATCTCGGTTGCCATAAAAGCTGTTTTGTTGTATTATTTGTATGCACGTGTGTTTCGTTTTCTTGGATGCTACTAAGGAGCCCTTGCTGGGTCCCGTACGTGTAGTTTCCGAGATCTCAACGAAATTTTGTCTGGCGCAACAATCTTCTCCTCTCAGTTCATACTGCATTTCCGAAATTTAAAATAAAGCGCTGTTAGTATCCGCAGGGGTCACCCCTGAGTATCCATCGGGTAAGTGTCTAGTGTACTGGACCCTTACAGTATCTATCCCAAAAAAAGATTTTTTCATTTTCTTTCGTTCTAGTCGTGATGGACAACTAGAACGAACTATCTATTCTTACACAAAAAATAGTTGGTCATAAAAAAATGAGCACTTTCCGGTTCGCAAAGAGGATGATTCGCCTAAAATAAAACATCTGGAAGAAATCTTCTGCCCGCTACCTGTATTCTTTTTCATCGGGCAGATTCTTGAGACGTTGAATTCTTGCGGTCGACAAGTACCAGTACGTACATACCAAGGGTACGATATAAATTTGGTAAGTACTTCCTCCATCCAGAAATAGGTGTTCCCATGACCATTTTGGCTGTGCACACAACTAGTGTCCCCTATTTACTTACTGGTTTCAGCAGCTGAATTTAAGGAATGAGTATGCAGAATGTGTAGAGTCAGTACTACTATTAGAGAACAGAAATGAGGATGCTTGAAAAATTATTCTCCTCACACATGAAATTACACATTGTTGTTCTTGCTTCTTAGTTGAATATTGTTGACAATGGTAGTAGAATGATGCACCTCTCTTGAAAAGAAACAAGAATGACCAATACAGAAACATTCTCTATAAGTATGATAAGGATATCATTATAAAGCTCTCAGTGTTAGTAGCTCCTTTCTGCAAG